AAGGATCTGCAGTGAAACATACAATAACACGATTTATTTGCAGCCACAATCAGCTTCAACGAGTGGTACTAACACATGGCACTAGGACACGACCCACGTGGCGGTCAGCGTGAGAAGATAACCACTTTGGGGGGTCGCCGCTGTCATCACGAGCTTCAAAAGCGATGATCTCACATCTGCACGATCATTCCACTTGAGTCGCATTTGATGCTGCTCGCAGTGCTGCACTCGGGATTGGCGCCACTCCATCCAGGGAATGTCTGGCCCCATGCCGTCTGGCAGTCCTGCAGAAACTGCGCTGCAGGTTGGCAGAGGGAGGTGGGGTTGATGGAGGAGGAAGAAGAGGGGGAAGGGAGGGGGGGGGGGTGGGGGGGGTGGGTGGGGGGGTGGGGTGGGGTGGGGGGTTGGGGGGGGGGGGATCGAGACACGTTAGTTTGATGGTCCATGGAGGTGGTTCACGGAGGTTTTGGGAGGAGAAGCACGTGGCAGTATTGTGCAGAAACAACGTACAAATTGGGTGCACGGCCTTCGCGGTACAAACAAGGTCAATGACACGTTATTGACATGGGTGAGGAGTGCAGTTGGCAGGAGGACCAAATATCAACCATTCTGGACCGGATTACTGCGACTGATTTGTGGATCTGCGAGCTACATCCCTAGATCCACATTCTGTTGGAGTGGTTTCCGCGAACCACACCAACGACGGCAGGCGGACTAACGACGGCTGAGAATATGGACCGACGGCGACTTCATGGCGGTGGCATGTGGAAGAAGCAAGAAGAAAAGACTAAGAAGCATCTAAGATTACTATACGAGTGTGCAAGATTACTATACGTGTGTGCTACGTTATGGGGAAAGGAGAAGAAACGTGGAGAAGAAATGGGAGTGAAGGAGAAGTGACGGGAAAGGAATTGACGGGAAGGTTTGATTAGTTGGGAAGTTGAGTGTTCAACAAGGAACCTGAGGCGCGTTCAACAAGTTTCCGTTTTTCGGACTTGGGGGTGCTCGACAAAGTTGGGGCGTTGCGTGTGCGACACAACGTGAAACGTGGGCAAGGGTTTGCTTGTAGAACACCTTTTGTTACCAATTTGTGTGTGTGCTTTGGTTGGGGTCTAAATCTGTTTGTACTAGGCATGGGAAGATACACATCTGGATTCCCTTGGTTGGAATTTGTGTTCAAACCTGATTGGTCGAAATTTCTACTGAAGTGAAACTCCCGTCAAAGTTCCGAAAAGGCTAAGTCAAGCCAAGTGTTTCGTGTTTCATCCGTGAAACTTCCGTCAAAGGCCCGTTAAGGCCTAGCAAAGTACCGAAGCTGCAGAATTCGAGTTTGGGCCCCGTGAAGGTTCCGTGAAAGGCCCGTGAAAGGCCCGTGAAGGGCGCGTGAAGCATAAAACGAGCCGAGGGCCCGTCAGGGTCACGTTAAGGCCCCGCGAAGGCCTCGTAGCGGTCGCGTCAGTCCTGGGAGTGGAGTTTCGCGACCAACACATTCCGGACGGACTCGGTTCACACGTGGTTTCATACACGTCTGACCTGCATAGTGCCCAGCCAATTCCGGCATCCAATCGAGTATTATCTAGATGTCCTAGTTCCCGGTGGTTACGAGGCGATTTTTCAGCATTGTAATTGCAAGCGAGCTAATACTCACCTTGCGTGGCCTGGAGCGGCTGCGCGTTGACGGGTGTTGCAAGAATGGCAAGGCAGCAAGCGAGTACCAGCGCGCTCTGCACGCGCTCACGCGCCATCAACTGACGGCTCAACGCCGCCACTGGAGAAGAGGTTTGACAGGCGCGGCTGGTACGCGGCCGCATGCCTCAAATTGCGGCTGCCACTCGGCGCTAACGACTGTTCTCTCCTCGACTCGTGATTCGAGAAAACGTAAGGGGTGACACCTTGGAGGAGCGCGGAGGCGACAACGGAGTCAACCTTATTCAGAAAAGCTTTGCCACAGCTGTTTTATTAGGTATGTGGTCGCATCAGCGCAGAGGACGAATGTGTACACGAGGATGGTGAAAACCACTGTCAAGCGAGCTGGACTACTAATAACTTGGGTACCGACGTTGGAAAAGTGGGGCGCAGCGAAGGACTCCTGGAAGGATGGAAGTTCCATATGGTCACCTAGCAGCTTGGTAGTTCGTTGGGGCGGAATAAATCATTTCAGTAGAAGTTGGAAGGGAAGTGGGGGCAAGGAAGGAAGGCGGTTGTGCGCCTAGATTCTACTAGCGCAGGTCTATCCGCGTGGATAACGACCGCCAGTTGGTCAGCTCGCAGCTCCTTTCCAAAGGTGATACGCCACACACGTGACGTGCGGGTCGTGTCAGCACTGGAATGGCACGCGTGCTCAGCATAACCAAATTCCGAAGTGACGTACACCAGCTCTAGTGACGGCGTAGACGGGCTCTAGTGACGTACACCAGCTCTAATGACCTGTGAATGCCCCAACGGTTCTGCTCACCGAGGTGACTCAGCAGTGGAAAGACTATAAGGACTATATCACACAACGACCTCGAAGGACTTGGATAAGGCTCGTTAATGTATGCGGGGCGGAACCTTCGCGGAGGCGAGGGGAGCAATTATGGTTGGAAGACTGCCGTAGTAATCGTCCGTAACTTTGTGCTTTCTCAGGGACACAAATATATAGGGTTTCTATCAATACCATGTCAAAGAGTCATTGCTCTCAGCGAAAACAACTCGCAACTTTCGACAATGAGGGGAAAGCAGAATGCGGCCTTCTAGCAGTGTGAACAGCGTCCACCTTACAACTCACTTCGAATTGCATATAGGGCCCGATTCCCCTACCCGAAACCAACGGTTCTGCTCCAAGGTGACTCAGCTCCTTCAACCTTCGGATGTCCCAACCGACGTCGAACGACTACTATGACTGCGAGATAGACCTGAAGATGAGGACAGCGTAAACATCAACACTACATTTACGCTAGCAGTCGTGCGCAATAGTAGATCTTCACATTGAATTCCTCAAAAATATCTTTGGTGCTAGTTGGAGTTTATTTGGTGTGCATACACCTAGATGAGGGCTCATTCTTTGTGGGGTATATTTCTAGCATGTATGGTTACAATAATGCAAGTGCAAATGACCGCTGGCATAATTTTATGCTTTATGTTATCAAACATCGCATGCCTTACTTGTTGAACCCGAGCGACCCAAAATTGGCCAACGGACGATTGCTCGCCGATGGGGAATTCTTCGCGATCATTAATGGACGTTGTCGTTCATGACATGTTACAATCTGTATGCATAAGTAGGATCGTTGTGATTGGTCGCTCTAATGCATCTTAGAAGGGTTTTATACTTGGTATGCGACATTATCAACGTAATTTGTGACTTAGAGAGTCGTGCACTTCCACAACGATGGCTAGTACGAATTCGGTTCTAATTGCACGTTATGACAACTTTGACTGTTGTACATTGCGATATTGGCCAGACATTTGGGATGAACTGGCGTAAACTGAGCATACTGTCTCTACTACTTGTCCTGGTAGCACGTACCGTGGTTTGCATTGTCACTTCGAACAGCCAGAGCAAGATGCGGGGATTTTGTCACATCCGGAGTAGTACACACCATAGGTGGGCGAGTTGTCAAAGTCATCGTTATGCGGAGACGACTCCATCAGGTTCCGTTTTTTCGTGAAAATTTGTCACTTATTTATTCATTGTAGTCAAAGAACGATGCTAATGTACAGGATTTGTTGTGCTGATGTATCAGATTCGATGGTCGTGAAGGCGAGACGGATTGTTCCTACCGACGATTCAACTGTGGGGTTTGGCAACGCTGGCACATAGCCATATTTACAATAACGTGGCAGATGTTGTTGCTCAGTGCTGGCCTCAATTCGTGCACGAAATGGGCGAATCGTCCGAGGATGGTCTGTCGGCATTGCGTTGCGGTGCATATATCTTTTGTAAATATGCCCTTGGTTCATTTTGAGAGGGGTCCATGTTAGACTTAAAGAGGGAGTCACATCGATTTGTGGGATGCATGAGCATGCGCACTCTTTTAGTAGAATTGTGACGGATGATGGTCGTATACATGTCCCTAGTGTCAGAATCTAACGAGAAGGAATGAATGCATTAAACAGAAAGTTGGTACAAGTATAACCCTAATTGTGTTGTACCTCATATAGGCTACCCCACTACAGCTTACACAACATAAGCATCATTATAGTTGTACACACCCCCATAGGCAAAGTGAGGGGGGAACAAGGGGTCACAAGACCAGTCAAGAAAAGCAAAGCAAGCTCAGGGTGGATCACGAAGTCACCACACACTGAGCACAAGCAAGTGGCCACAAGGCGAGTTCACATGCAGAGTTATATAAATGGGAACAAGTAGTACAGTGATCACAATCTAGCGAAGGAGCTGAGAGCGAGTGACCGGTAGCCAGATGAGTGGACTATGGCGAGAACCAAGTGAAGCAGAAGCGCTGAAGCACCTGCTCCACCATGTGTGACTGAGTCACGGTGATGGTGCGGCGTGCTCTGTCCCGGGTGATTTGCAAGCTAAGATAGCTGTGCAGCTCACCCATGTATGTCCACGTGCGCCTCTTCTGCAGCTTCGACTTCACTAGAGTCAGTGCCTCAGTCTGAGCAGTGGCAAAAACCAAGTCCTCAACATACACGAGGATGTAGAACGGCGGCAGCGAAGTGTCGCTGTGCAGAAATAGCGACGGGTCAGCAGTCGAAGGAGCAAACCCAATAGCCGCAAGTGTCATCCTCAGTGTGTCGTGCCACTCACGAGGCACCTGGCGGAGACCGCTGACTGGCCGCCAGAGGCTCCACTGGGTACCTGCAGGAAACGACCCAGTGCAGCCAGGTGGACGACGCAGCCAGATCTCCTTGTGCAGGGTGCCCTGTAAGAAAGTTGTGCTGAAGTCAAGAGAGTGAAGCTCGTATTCATGCTGAGCGGCGACGTGCAGCAGCACCCGAAAAGTGGTCATCTTCGGGGTAGGGGAGAAGGTCTGGAAGAAGTTAACTCCCTGTCGCTAACCGTAGCCTCTAGCAACGTAACAAGCCTTGAAGACAGTCGGAGAACCCGGCGGCCGCTTCACCATGAAAATCCACATGCCAGCGACAATGTTCGCCCTAGGAGGGGGAACTGCGTCGATGTAAGTGCCTATGGACTTCCATGATGCCATATCTGTGTCCATGGCTGTATGCCAGTGATGGGAGTAGGGACACGTAATCGCCTCTGCGTAAGAGCACGGGGTGGGGATGTCTGGAGCATCCGGATCTCCATCAGGTGCAGGCAGAATGGACACGAGATGATGTACAGCAGCTGCAAGACACTCAAAGTCTTCCTGTCTGTCCTTAAGGACGTCCGTGTTAAGAGCACACTCACCCCTGACGGACGTAGGACAAACAGACTCAGACTTAGCAACAAGAATAGTGGCGTAGTCAAGTCGACAGCTAGCAGTAAAGTGGACAAGCTCAGCAACTAGGGCAGACGCGGCAGTGGACTCAAACGAAGGGTCGGTGACAACACTGGCTAGGAGAAGGGTGATAGTAGGACTGGCAGCACGAACTAAGTCAGACTTAGGGTCTGGACCGTCAGGAAGAGAGGACGCATGATGAGACGGCAGGGGAACTCGAAGTGGAACAGAGGAAGGACGAAGTGTCATACTGTGAGTGCCGGGGAAAGGAGGAGGACGCAGACACGGAACACAACTACCAGTGCGACCAGCACGAACAGGCAAGGCAGGGTGAGACGCAGGCTCACAACGCTCTGTAAGAGAGTCTGTCTGCTCAGTGTAAGGAGAAGGAGCAGGTAATGGGGAGGCTGGCTGTAACTGTGGCTGCGACTGGTCTGGTGGTGGACACAGTAGAGGCGGAGTAAGGTCAGTAGAAGACGGGAGACCAAGAACCCGACGAAGTAGTGGAGTGAAGTACGGTCGCGGCCGCACAGCGCGTCTAGCACCAGTACCGACAGCTCCAACACCCCAAGCACCAGAACCTCCAGCTCCAGGGTCTCCAACTCCAGTACCCCCAGCACCAGCACCTCCAGCTCCAGGGTCTCCAGCTTCAGCACCTGCAGCACCACCAGCTCCAGCAGCTCCAGCACCTCCAGTACCTCCAGCAGCTCCAGTACCTCCAGCAGCACCACCACCACCAGCCCCGGTAGGTCTAGTACCTCCAGCACGAGCACCTCCAAGACCAGCAGCTCCAGCACCTCCAGGACCAGCAGCTCCAGCACTTCCAGTAGCAGCTCCAGCACTTCCCCCCGGTAGCTCCAGTAGCAGCACGACTTCGAAGGCGGGTGCGCCAAGTGTACCAATCGCGCAGCTGCTGTGGTGAGAGAGGCTCCCGCCGGCTAGACCGTTGGGGCGAGGCACCAGTAGCACCTCCAGGACTAGTAGCTCCAGCACCCCCAGTACCTCCAGTACTAGTAGTACCTCTATAACCTCCAGGACTAGCAAATTCAGGGCCTCCAGCTCCAGCAGTGCCACTCCGTAGGTGTGTGCGCCGAGTGTACCACTCGCGCAGCTGCTGTGGCGAGAGAGGCTCCCGTAGTGTAGACACAGTACCCCTAGGCTCAGCACCCCCAGACTCAGCACCCCCAGGCTCCGCACGCTTAGGCTCAGCAACCCGAGGCCCCGCATGCTCAGACGCAGCACCCTTAGGCTCCAAACCCGCAGGATCAGCACCCCCAGGCTCCGCACGCTCAGGCTCAGCACCCTCGTGCTCCGCACTCGCAGGCTCAGCACCTCAAGGCTCCGCAAGAGCAGGCTCAGCACCCCCAGACGCAGCACCTCGAGCAGCACCAGAGTCACCAGTGACCTTGACAGGCTCAACCAAGGGGAGTGGGTCTACATGAGACACACTTGAAGGAGCAGGACTCTCAGCGGGGAGGGGGTCTACCGGAGGGGGAATTGGGGCGAGGAAGAGCGGTGAGGGGGGGGAGAGGGGCAGTGCGGTAGGGGAAGAGACGGTAAAAGGGAACCGACTCATCGAACGTGACATCCTAAGAGGGCAGGACACGGCACGAGGTGGGGTGGTAAAACTGTGAGCCAAGGCGCGTCAGGGGGAAAGCCGCAGAGAATGGCGCGAGAGGAGAGCTTGTTTGCGGAGGTATCGCGGACAAAAGCACAACAGCCCCAGACCCGGAACAGTGACGCATCGCCAACCTCTCTCGTCCAACGCAGTGTAGGCAAGGTCTCCGCCAAGGAGACACGGAGCCAGAGGTTGAGCTGATGCGCGGCGTACCGGACCGCAAACGGCCACAGAAGATGGGGAGCAGCCGCATGGATCATGGAGGTACGAGCGACCTCCATGAATAAGCCAATGCGGCGCTCAGCAACCCCATTCTGCTGCGGAGAGGCTGGAAGCGTGAATGACTAGAGGATGCCCTGTCCACGACAAAAGTCCCGCAAGAGGTCGGAGGAAAACTCACCACCTCTGTCAGACTGTAGACGCAGGACATGAAGGTCCGTGTCGAACCGCTCGCGGAGCTGGACACGGACAGCGCGGATCCAAGGGATCAAGACATCAGGGAGCTCCTCTTTGCTACGCAAGGGGAAGACCGTGGTGTAACGCAAGTAATCGTCAACAACCAGCAGAAAGTATCGCTCGCGGCCCTGTCTCTGGACGCGGGCTGGGCCCCACATATCCAGTAGAGAGTCTGCAAGGGAGCAGTCATCTGGGGAAATGAGGAGGAATGAGGAGCGGCGCGCTGCCGCCCCTCAACACATGCAAGGCAAGGAAGGGCCAGGCGAGGGTGGGAGGGGAGGCATGGACCTAGGAAGACCAGAGGCAAGGAGGCGGGAGTGCATGCCACGGAAGCGTGCTAGGGAGGGGTGACCAAGAAGGTGGTGTGAGAGGAGAGTCTGGTGCGACAGGAGGCGACACAAACAGGGGGCTGCTAGCTGACCTAACGCGGACGCAGACACAACTACATGAGGAGGCTCAGTAGTCAGTGTGTACAGGCTCGACCCAGGCCGACGGATGAACGTGGCCAGATGACGGCCCGTCCGTGCAGACGTGCAGATTGCCACACGCTGTCCTCCAGGGGTAAAGGTATCAACCCAAGCATCCTGAAGGACGGCGTTACTCACCAAGTTCATAGAGAACGAGGGGAGGTGAAGACTTGATAGTGAGCTAGACGGGACCGCCGGACATGGGAGAACAGTGGAGGAACGTGCAAGAACCGGTCCCCCTGAGGGGTCAGCCAGAGAGACTGCAACCAGTACTGCGAGTGGTGTGACCGTGGTGCTGTCGCGAAAGAAGCAGCGGGAAGCACCCGAGTCAAGCGTGAAGGTGCGCAAGGCCTCAGCAAGCGCAATACCAGAGAGAGCAGACTCACCAGCACCTAGAGCAGCAGCCTCTATACCAAGGTTGGGCGGCACCCACAGGTAACAGTCACCCTCAGTACCAATAGTCAAAGCATACATGACAGTGAATATAGCGTCATAGTCTAGAGCAAAGATATCCACACCCTGCCTAAGCAGAGCGGGGAAGCTCAGTCGCGTCACCAAACTCTGCGCACCAGGCGTCGCTCTGACAGGAGAAGCAGCGGGACTGTGTGTGACCAACTGTCCTGCAAGTGTGACCAGCCCGATCACTTGTGCGAATAACGTACGAGCAGCGAGCACTACTCCGAGATGCCCCACGCTGAGCGTACCACTCACAAAGCTGCTGGGGCGTAAGGGTCTCGCGCAGACGCCGCTGCAACTGCACCAGGTTAGTGCCAGAAACTCCCAACTGAACAGCTGCACAGCGACGGCCATTACTGCCTCTGCCACCACTCCTACTAGTGTACCACTCACGTAGCTGCTGGGGCGGAAGGGTCTCGTGCGGACGCCGCTATAGCTGCATCTAGCCACCGCCAGAAACTCCCCACCGAACAGCTTTATAGCGACTGCTACTACAGCCGCCACCACTCCCACAACTGCCGCCACCGCCACCACCACTCCCACCGCTACCGTGACGAGGAGTCATGCGACCAGCAAGGCAGCACGCAGGGAAGGCAGGGCGGCAAGGAGGCAATAGGGTAGGTGGAGGCGGTGCACGGTCATGGAAGGGCGGTGCGCGGCCAGAGCAGGGCGGCGCGCGGACAGGCAGGGGTGGCACGAGGCTAGCAGGGCGGCGCGCGGGGCTGCAAAGAGGGGGGGGGGGGGGGGAGGGGGGAGCGTGCGGGCTGCAGAGGGCAGCGTGCTGTCAGCAGAGTGGCGCACGAGCTGCAGACGGGCGGCGCATGGGCTGCAAGGGGTGGCGCGCGGGTGGCATGCGCGGGGCGGCGTGACGCGAGGCAGGCAGGGGCGGCGCGAAGGCAGGCAGGGGCGGCGCACGGGGAGGCAGGGTGGACGGGTGACGCGGCGGGCTGGGGCAGCCCGCACAGGCAACGCAATGGGCACGCAGGGCAGACGAGCGACGCGACAGGCTAGAGCAGCCCGCACAAACGACGCGACAGGCAGGCAGGGCGGACGGGAGACACGACGGGCTGGGGCAGCCCGCACGGGCGACGCAACGGGTAGGGGCAGGGCGGACGGGCGACGCAATGGGCTGGGGCAGCCCGCACGGGCGACGCGATGGGCAGTAGGGGCGCAAGGGCAGCGCAACGCGACGGACAGCAGGGGCGCACGGTGCGACGGGCAGTAGGGGCGCGCGACGCGACGGGCTGCAGGGGCGCGCGACGCGAGGCACGACAGGGCATGCGAGGGGCAGCACGACGCGGGGCAGGGCAGGGCGTGCGCTGTGCAGCGCGACGCGGGGCTTGGCAGGGCGTGCGCGGGGCAGCGCTACGCAGGGCAGGGCAGGGCGTATGCGGGGCAGCGCAACGCGGGGCAGGGCATGGCGTGCGCGACGTAGCGCTACGTGAGGCAGGGCAGGGTGTACGCGGAGCAGCGCGACGTGGGGCAGGGCAGGGTGCGCACCGAGCAGCGCGACGCGCGGATGGGCGTGCACGGGCAGTGTGACGCAAGGCAGGGCAGGGCAGGGCGCACGTTGACGGCGCAGCGCAGGGCAAGGCGTGGGGTAGCGCGGTAACCGCAATCGGTCACTAGGTAATGTACGGCCCGAAAAAACGGTCCTACGAACCTACTATGACAGAATCTAACGAGCAGGAATGAATGCATTGAGCAGAAAGTTGGTACAAGTATAACCCTAATTGTGTTGTACCCCATATAGGCTACCCCACTACAGCCTACACAACATAAGCAACATTATAGTTTGACACCTAGTTCAAATCATATGCAATTCTCTTGAAATGTGAGACCTTTCCTGCATTTAAACCTATGACTTTTCGCTCTTGCAGGAAAGTTATGCAAATAGTAGCTTGGTAGCGCGATCTATGATGGCGAAGCAGGGCCTTGTAGATTTTCTACCTGGGACCGAGTTTTTTTAGACTGAGATTGTAGCAAACAATGTTTGAAGTGAGAAAGGGCTTTGATCACCAAGTGGGAGAGGATCGATGCGGAGATAGCTCAATCAACGGGAGCAATATTACGGACTAGGCATAGAGTAGGGGTGATCTCTGCGTTCCGTAGTCGTTTGCTTGTGTGTTCTTTGCTTGCATGTTCATAGGGAGATTTACAAGAATTTCACTAGCAAAGATTGACAACAATGGTTGCAACAATATTGGCAACACTGACTACATCAGAGCTAGCAAGGCTGCTCGTCTACCTCTAGCGCAGCACGGTCGACCGCGATCCAGCGCAGTAGAGCTCGCACCGCTACAGCGTTGCAGAGTAGGGGTTCGCCAACGTTGCAAGTCCATGGTGTGCCAATGCTGTAGCAAGTCGGTTGTACAACGTTGCATCCGCAGAACAACGGTGCACTTGCTTCGCAGGTGCGTGCAGCTGGTTGGTGCACTACTCCTTGTCACGTGCACAGTGCAGACGCACGACAGAATCCACGCCAGCGATTACGCCCACCAGCCACGTCGAGCTTGGGGTACCACCCTGGCGACCTAAGAAGCCACCCCGGCGACCTTCGCACACGTCGCCCAGGTATCCTGGTCGACAGAGCAACCAGATCGGCGTACAGGAGCCCAGTACAGCGTCTGAACGCCCTGCTCGGCGTCTAGGTGCACAGGACGCCGTGCAGACGCCCATGTCGGCGTCCAGGCATCCAGGACGCCGTGCACACGCCTTGCTCGGCATCCAGGCGCCCAGGACGCCGTGCAGACGCCCTCCCCGTATCCAGGCGCCAGACGGCGTCCCCCACTGCAGCAGGCCGGCTGCGCTCCCCGCACACCCAACAAACGAAGTAGGCTCCGCCCAAGTGAGGACGGGGCCAACACACAATTCTCATTGACAATCGAATGCTCATAGCAGAATTCAATAATAATCACTTGGGTACAAGGTTGTGGCTATATAGGCACGATACAAGACATGATACTTTCTTGTTACTAGAACATACCGAGGCTCTAGAGCCGAAGGAAATCCGGTAGGGGCATTCGGAGGATAATCACATCGACTCTAGATCACGCGAGATAAATCTTAAAAAAAAAAAAAAAAAAAGTACAATGCACGCAATCCTATCCGGATTATCAACTAGAAATCGAAATAGTAAAGTAACAAAAATGAAAATATGTGGAGAAAATGGAAAAAAAAAGTAAAAGGATAATTAAGGATAAAACGAACTGAGCAACGCCAACCGTCGACGCGAAGTTGGGCCAACTTGGGGTTGATTCATTCGCTGTTGAAGATTGCGCAACCGATGAAGTTCACATGCTCACATTCATGGTGTCTCAGCTGCTAGAATAAGCCAGCTCAGCTTCATGCTACCCCAAAGTCCGAGAGCGGCCTAGTTACTCTGAGTGTACACCTCATGCGTGATTGAGTCTCCCATACTTGCCCTACCTTCTGGGACTTTAAGTGCTTCTTGCATTCCCAATGCCTCGTTAACGTTGCAGCTGGATAATACATACGAACAGTGAAAAAATGACGTCATCCGCGCATGATTTACCACGCGAGGGGGCTGGAAAAGTGACGTCAGTCGGCCACCCGCGAAACCACGTCCGAAGTGGCCGCCCGTCCGAAGGTGACCATTGAGAGCTCTGAAGTTCCTTCGGGCCGACAAAGGCCTTGGTTTCATCCGGGATACAAATCGTCACATTGGACCACGTGTTGCGGGGAAGTCGAGGGAAATTCTTTTTTCCGCGTATGCGCACCACGTGTCGAGCTCGGAAACGTCATTAAGAGCCCAAGTGTCAGAACATCAGAGGTCGACGTCCCGATCCAGCTTCGCTAACTCGTTAGCTGATGCGAAATCGTCTCGCAGCCTGATTCTCACCTGATCGCATGGCTCTCGTTTTGCGTGAATCATGTGCGACGAAGGAATCACCGCTACATGACCATCGACGAGACCAGAGGTAACTGTCAGAATGAGAAACGAGAATGGTGTGACTAACAGGAACAAGAGTACAAATATGAAACCCTAATCTGGTGTACCCCCTAAGGTGTAACCCACTACAGCCTAGAACCACATAAACATATAATGTTTGACACACCCCCATAGGCAAAGTGGGGCAGACCTAGGGGTCACAAGAACAGTCAAGGTAAAACAAGGCAAACAAGCTCAGGGTGGATCTCGAGGATTCCACACAAATTCCGAGCACAAGCAAGCGGTCACAAGACCAGTTCACATGCAGATTTATAATAGAGCAAGAAGTACAATGATCACAACCTAGCAAGAGTAAACATGCAGGTATATATATATATATAGTGATCACAGTACAGACAAAGTCAAGAAGTAAGCAAGTGAGGTCCAGTCGGCACAAGGCCTAGAAGAGTGCAAAAACGCTGATGGTCAACAGGCGGAAGCGCCTTGGTGAACACATCAGCAGTGTTGGCCTCAGTGGCCACGTAACGCCGACGAAGCTGACCACGCTGCTGTAGCTCTCGAGCTAGAAAGTAACGCAGAGCAATGTGCTTCGTCCTGTGCTCCAGTCTGTGCTCGTCACACAAGGCAATGGTTGCCTTGTTGTCGACGTACAGCACTGGAGGAGAACGAGGCTGCTCTCCAAGGTCCGTCAGCAGGTAGGTGAGCCAGCGAAGCTCCTGGGCAGCCATGGCCGTGGCGTAGATCTCAGCCTCACAGCTGGAGCTGAGAACAGAAGAAGAGCGAGTAGAACGCCAAGAGACAGAGCCAGAGCCAAGGCTGAAGGTGTAACCCTGAGACGACCGCTGAGTAGCCTGGTCGTCTGCCCAAGAAGCGTCTGAGTGCCCAGTGAGAACAACTGGGACTCGCCCTCCAAGCACTAGCCCCATGCCCGACGTACTGCACAAGTAGCGCAACACCGTCTTAGCTGCATCCATGTGCTCCTTTCGGTGACGGCTGGGAGCGACATAGCGTGCTAAAATGCTGAGAGGGTATGCAAGGTCAGGTCGCGTGCAGGTCATCAGGTACATGAGGCAGCCCACAAGCTCTGGATACGGACCACTCGGCTCTACGGACTCATCCGAAGGCAGAGCTGAGAGCGAGTGTCCCGTAGGCAGAGGAGTGGACTGAGGCGAGGAGTACGTGAAGCCGAAGCGCTGAAGGACCTGCTGCACCATGTGTGACTGAGTCAGGGTAATGGTGCGCCGTGCTCTGTCCCGGGTGATCCGCAAGCCAAGATAGCTTGTCAGTTCACCCAGGTCTGTGCACGTGTGTCTCTTCTGCAGCTCGGACTTCACGTGAGCGGGACCAGCTGTGTCAGAAGTGGCAAAGACCAAGTCGTCGACGTACACGAGGATGTAGAACGGCGGCAGTGAGGTGTCGGTGCGTAGAAGCAGCGACGGGTCAGCAGTAGAAGGAGCGAACCCAAGAGCCGCAAGAGTAGTCCTCAGTGTGTCGTGCCACTCACGTGGCGCCTGGCGGAGACCGTAGACTGGCCGCCAGAGGCTCCACTGGGTACCAGGAGGAAACGACCCAGTGAAGCCAGGTGGGCGGCGCAGCCAGATCTCGTGCAGGCTGCCCTGCAAGAAAGCTGTGCTGAAGTCAAGCGAGTGGAGCTCGTAGTCACGCTGAGCAGCGACGTGCAGCAGAACCCGAAGAGTGGTCATCTTCGGGGTCGGGGAGAAGGTCTGGAAGAAGTCAACTCCCTGCCGCTGACTGAAGCCTCGCGCAACGTAACGCGCCTTGAAGACAGGCGGAGAGCCCAGTGGCCGCTTCACCCTGAAAATCCACATGCCACTGACGATGTTCGCCCCAGGTGGGGGAACCTCGTCAACGTAGGTGCCTGTGGACTTCCAGGAAGCCATCTCTGCGTCCATGGCTGTCTGCCACTGAGAGGAGTAAGGACCGGCCATCGCCTCTGCGTAAGAGCGTGGGGTCGGGATGTCTGGTGCATCCGGGTCTCCCTCAGGGGCAACAAGCATGGACACGAGATGGGGCAAAGCAGCAGCAAGGCAACCAAACTCCTCCTGCCTGTCCTCAAGGACGTCAGTGCCCAGGGCACAGTCACCCCCGACGGACGGAGGACAGACAGACTCAGACTCAGCAACAAGACTGGCAGCGTAGTCTAAACGACACGCAGCTGCAAAGTCGACCAGCTCAGCAACTAAGGCAGACGCAGCAGCGGACTCAAAGGAAGGGTCAGTGACAACCGTAGCTAGGAGACGTGTGACAGTAGGACTGGCAGCGCGAAGGGAGTCGGACACCGGGTCAGCAAGAGCAGGAAGAGACGACGCAGGAGGCGACGGGAGAGAGACACGCTGTGGAGCAGTGGACTGACGAAGTGCCATCTGGTGAGTGCCTGGGACAGCAGGAGGACGCTGACGCTGGACACTACGACCAGAGGTAGCACTACGAACAGGCGACGCTCGACGAGACGCAGGCGACACAGGACGTGACGCAGGCTCACGACGCTCAGCAAGACCTCCAGTCGGACCAGTGTAAGGAGCAGGCACAGGGAGAGGGGAGGCAGGCGGTAACTGTGGCTGTGACTGGACAGACGGCAGACACTCTAAGGCGGGAGGAGGAGGCTGACCAAGAACCTGCTGAAGGAGTGGAACGAATTACGGCCGAGGCCGTGCAGCAACTCTCGAACCAGCAGCGTCACCAGCAGCAGGGTCCTCAGCACCAGCAGCAGCACCTCCAGCAGCACCTCCAGCAGCACCAGCAGCACCGCCAGCAGCAGCAGCACCTCCAGGACCAGGGTTAGCAGCACCCGCAGCAGCTCCAACGCCCGGGGTCGTGTGCAGGTCATCAGGTACATGAGGCAGCCAACAAGCTCTGCATACGGGCCACTCGACTCTACGGACTCATCCAAAGGCAGAGCTGAGAGCGAGTGGCGAGTAGGCAGAGGAGTGGCCTGAGGCGAGGAGTACGTGAAGCCGAAGCGCTGAAGGACCTGCTGCACCATGTGTGACTGAGTCAGGGTAATGGTGCGGCGTGCTCTGTCCCGGGTGATCTGCAAGCCAAGGTAGCTGCGCAGTTCACCCAGGTCAGTGCACGTGTGTCTCTTCTGCAGTTCGGACTTCACGTAGGCAAGTCCAGCAGTGTCAGCTGTGGCAAAGACCAAGTCGTCGACGTACACGAGGATGTAGAACAGCGGCAGAGAGGTGTCGGTGCGCAGAAACAGCGACGGGTCGGCAGTAGAAGGAGCAAACCCAAGTGCCGCGAGCGTAGTCCTCAGTGTGTCGTGCCACTCACGTGGCTCCTGGCGGAGACCGTAGACTGGACGCCGGAGACTCCACTGGGTACCAGGAGGGAAAGACCCAGTGAAGCCAGGTGGGCGACGCAGCCAGATCTCCTCGTGCAGGCTGCCCTGCAAGAAAGCTGTGCTGAAGTCGAGAGAGTGCAGCTCGTAGTCACGGTGAGCAGCAACGTGCAGCAGAACCCGAAGAGTGGTCATCTTCGGGGTGGGGGAGAAGGTCTGAAAGTAGTCAACCCCCTGCCGCTGACTGAAGCCACGAGCCACGTAACGTGCCTTGAAGACAGGCGGAGAACCCGGCGGCCGCTTCACCCTGAAAATCCACATGCCACTGACGATGTTCGCCCCAGGAGGGGGAACAGCGTCGACGTAGGTGCCTGTGGACTTCCAGGAAGCCATCTCTGCATCCATAGCTGTCTGCCACTAAGAGGAGTAGGGACCCTCTATCGCCTCCGCGTAAGAGCGCGGAGTCGGGATGTCTGGTGCATCCGGGTCTCCCTCAGGGGCTAGCAGTACAGACGCGAGATGAGGTGAAGCGGCGGCCAGACACTGGAACTCCTCCTGCCTGTCCTCAAGGACGTCCGTGCCGAGGGCACACTGACCCCCGACGGACGGAGGACAGGCAGACTCAGACTCAGCGACAAGACTGGCAGCGTAGTCTAGACGACAGCGCGCTGCAAAGTCGACAAGCTCAGTGACAAGGGCAGACGCAGCAGACGACTCGAAGGAAGGGTCAGTGACAGCAGTAGCAAGGAGACGCGTGACAGTAGGACTGGCAGCACGAAGAGAGTCCGACTCCGGGTCGGCAAGAGCAGGAAGAGAGGAAGCAGGTGGAGAAGGCAAAGGGGCACGCAGAGGAGCAGTGGACGGACGCAGTGACATCCGGTGCGTGCCAGGGACAGGAGGAGGACGCTGACGCGACCCACGACCACTAGCGCGCGCAGTACGAACAGGCGACGCAGGACGAGACGCAGGCTCACGACGCTCAGTAAGACCTCCAGTCGGACCAGCGTAGGGAGAAGGAGCAGGCAAAGGGGAGGCAGGCTGTAGCTGTGGCTGTGACTGGACAGGCTGTTGACCCTCTAAGGAAGGAGGAGGTGTAAGACCAAGAACCTGCTGCAGGAGCGGAACGAAGTACGGTCGGGGCCGCGCGGCGACGCCAGAAACTGCAGGAACAGCACCAGTACCCCCAGCAGGAGCACCCACTCCAGCAACACCTCCAGCAGCACCTCCAGTAGCTCCAGAACCTCCAACAGCAGCACCAGGAGCACTGTCAGTCGGACCGCCAGCGGCAGTCTCAGCGCCAACACCCTCAGCAGCACCAGCTCCAGGAGAACCCTCAGACCCAGCAGCTCCAGCACCCACAGTACGAGCACCGCCGGGACGCGCGGCAGCAGTACCCTCTGCAGCCGAAGAACCACTAGCACCAGTAGCACGCCTCCAGCGCCTGGCAAACCACTCACGCAGCTCCTGTGGGGAGAGTGGCTCCCGGCGAGACGAAGCACCTCCAGGCAGAGCACCCCCAGGCACAGCACCCCCAGGCACAGCACCCCCAGGCTCAGCACCCCCAGGCTCAGCACCCCCAGGCACAGCACCCCCAGGCACAGCACCCCCAGGCTCAGCAACCCCAGGCTCAGCACCCCCAGGCTCAGCACCCCCAGGCTCAGCACCCCCAGGCTCAGCACCCCCAGACTCCGCACCCCAAGGCTCAGCTCCCGCAGCAGCACCAGAGTCACCAGTGACCTCGACAGGCTCAACCGCGTCTACCTGGGACACACCTGAAGGGGCAGGACCCTGAGGGGGGAGGGGGTCTACCGGGGGGGGGACCTGGTACCAAGAAGAGCGGGGGTGGGGGGAGGGACGGAGTGCGGTAGGGGAAGAGGCGGTAGTAGGGTACCGACTCGTCGAACGTGACGTCCTGGGAGGACAGAACACGTCGAGAGGTGGGGTGGTAGAACAGCCACCCAGGGGCGTCGGGGGGAAACCCCAGGAAGACGCAGGGAGCAGCGCGAGGGGACAGCTTGTCCGCAGACAAGTCGCGGACAAACGCCCGAGATCCCCAGACCCGGAACGCCGACGCATCGCCAACCTTCCCCGTCCACAGCAGGGCTGGGGAGGTCTCCGGCTTGGAGACCCTGGGGTGGAGGTTGATCTGATGCGCTGCGTACCTGACCGCAAACGGCCACAGAAAATGGGGGGCAGCCGCATGCATCATGGACGTACGGGCGACGTCCATGACCATGCCAATGCGGCGCTCAGCAATCCCATTTTGCTGCGGTGAGTCCGGAAGCGTGAAGGACTGGCGGATGCCTCGCGCCCGACAGTAGGCACGCAGAAGGCCAGAGGAGAACTCTCCGCCTCTGTCAAAGTGCAGACGCAACACAGGAAAGTCGGAGCCAAAGCTCTGCCTGAGCTGAAGACGAGCTGCGCGGATCCAGTCGATCAGCACCTCAGTAACCTCACTCTTGCTGCGCAAGGGGAAGACTGTGGTGTAACGCGAGTAGTCGTCAACAACGAGCAGGAAGTAGCGCTCCTGACCCTGTCCACGGACGCGGGCTGAGCCCCACACGTCCATGTGAAGCGTCTGCAACGGGGCCTCTGTCGGAGGAAACTGGGAGGAGTGAGGGGCAGCACGCTGGCGCCCCTCGACACAGGGGACACAGGCAGGGCCAGGGCCCTGAGGAAGGGGAGGTAGAGACCGGGGGAGACCAGACACAAGAAGACGGGAGGCCATGCCTCTGAGCCGAAGCAGAGAGGGGTGGCCAAGGCGGTGGTGCCAGAGGAGGGTCTCGTGAGACAGACGACGACACGAACTGGGGGCAGACTCAGGACCAGACCTGGACGCTGCAGCAAACACCTGACCAGACGAAGGGACTCTACCAGACTCAGCACCTGGAGGAGAAGCAGTGGTCAGTGTGTACAGGCTCGACCCTGGCCGACGTGTAAACGTAGCCAGGTGGCGTCCCGTGCTAGCCTCCGTGCAGTGGGTCACCCGCTGACGAGCAGGAGTGAACTGGTGGACACCCGCATCCTGTAGGTCAGCACCACTCACCAGGTTCGTCGAGAACGAGGGGAGGTAGAGACCAGACAGGGTGCCAGAGGGGGCCGCCGGACACGGAAGGACCGTGGAGAAGCGAGACAGGACAGGCCCCCCAGAGGGGTCAGCCAGGGACACCGCAACCGGCCGACTCAGCGGCGTGAGAGTGGTGCGGTCCCGAAAGAAGGAGCGAGACGCTCCAGAGTCAAGGGTGAAGGTGTGAGAGGCCGAAGCCGACACAGTACCTGAGAGGGCAGACTCACCAGTACCCGAGAGCACAGACGCACTGGCACCTAGAGCAGCAGCCTCACTAGTACCTGACGCAGTAGTACCAATGCCCGGGTCGGGCGGGAAACACCGGTAATAGTCATCCTCATCACTACCAGTCACAGCATACATAGCAGAAAGAATAGCATCAAAGTCAAGATCATAAATAGCTACACCAGCCCTAGACAGCTCCCCCCAGCGGGGGATCTCAGCGGCCTCCGGAAACTGCTGACGCCAGGCGTCGGTCAGGCGGCCAAAGCAGCGGCGGGCGGTGTGGGTGCCTCCACACCTCTCCCCCGCACGGTCGCCGGTGCGAAGAACGTAGGGGCAGGGACCAAACGCACCACCACGCTGACGCTGCAAGTACCACTCACGGAGCTGCTGAGGGGCGGGGACGGTGCGAGAGCGCTGCTGCTGCTGTGGCTGCTGCTGCTGCTGCTGCTGCTGCTGGCGCTGACCACCCCCAGAGCTGCTCCGCTGAGACGAGCCACTCCGACCCCCGCCGCCACCGCCACCCCCACCTCCACCGCCACCTCCGTCTCCACCGCCACCGCCCCCACCGGCACCCTCGCCCCCGCCTCCTCCGCTACCTCCTCCGCCGCCACCTCCGCCTCCACCGCCTCCACCAGCACCTCCACTCCCGCCACCACCTCCACCGCCACCCCCACTCCCCCCGCCACCCCCACCTCCCCCGCCACCGCCCCCTCTAGCTCCACCCGCTCCCTTGCCCCCCTTGCCCTTGCCAGGGCGGCGTCTACCGCTGGGGGCAGACGCCGCACCGACCGACTCAAAACCAGCGAGGTCGGCCGCAGCGGCAGAGGCGACAGAGGGTAGCAGGGGGGAAGGAGAACACCCCTCAAAGATGGGGGTGCGAGGGTCAACCCGAGAGGCCCCTACAGCGACGATGCTCTTCTCAGCCGCTAGCAGGGACTCCTCAAGGAGGTCGACAGTGAGGGTGGTGGGACAGACAGAGAGAAGCTGGTCCCTAACGACACGAAGGGACTCAGGGAGACGGGTGACGAGAAAGTAGAGAGTGATGTACATGGGAGGAGGGTTTGCGGCGCGGAACTCAGCAGGAAGGGCAGCGCGGTAGCGAGCATCACTAGCGCGGAGGTGGGTAACGAGGTCAGCGACAGTGGGAAAGGCAGCGAGGTCAGGGAAGAGAAACGGTAGCATGAGGCGGCTCAGTGTAGCGGAGGAAGGGGAGGAGTAGCGTGCAACTACAGCGTCGTACAAGGCCTGAGCGGTC